AGAATGACTTATTTGGAGGAAAAGATACACAGATTTTTAACATACAAACCATTTATTTGCTTTATGAATAACAATCAATGAAACAGATAACTACTTTCAGTTAGCGCTCAAGTATAGGAAGTTATGCTAAGAATAAGATACACTCCCTCCTTCCCTCCCCCCCACAAAAACCCGAAGTGTCAAAGTGCAACTTTTAATTTTCAATCAAAAGTTGCAGTAAGTTTTGGGTTAATGTTATTAAAAAAAAAAAAAAAACCACAACCTAAAAAACCCAAACCCCAACTCCAAAGTGGTCTGGAAACAGCAAACACATGTACTCCCTTTGTAAAAAAGTGAAATACACAGAAAAAATATTTATGCAGTTCCAAATTATCATGGGAGTAAGGTCTGAAAATCTCAGGGGAAGAGGAAGAAGTTTTATTCAGAAATCAAGTCTTACTGGCTTTATATGGTATTTACAGGGAATAAAATTAAGTTTTCCAAATATTTGGACAAAGGTGAAACTTTAAATACATACTCTAAGCACATATCATCTCTAGCTAGTCTTCTAGTGTAGCCTGAAAGCTTGGAATTGTAGTCTACGTGTAAAAAGCAATGAAACTTGAATGTACTTCACAAGTGTGTATTAAGACAGCCTCTCCAATCCAAGCAAAACAAAACAAGAAACATACAGGGTTACTACACCAACTTCTGAGCACTTTCCAGAGTACATCCTTAACAGAGCATACATGAACAACATTTTTTCTAGACTTCGTGTCATACTGAATGCCTTAAGTCAAAAATGCCATTGTTACTTGTGTCAGCCTTTACTGTAACAGGCACTTTGTCTCTACTTGTATTTCACACAGTTCGCAGGTGATCCCTGATTCAGGTAATACTCTGAAGTTTTTCCCCCAAGCAGTCATGAGTACTGAAATAAGTTATGTGTTCTCTTCCTTATATCCCTCTTCCCAGGACTCAGTATTTTCTGTGGGCCTTATGTAATGAAATAGAATGTAGTGTGTCTTTAAGAATCAGGAAAACTAAAAATCATTAACTTACCATTAATAGTGAACTTGCTATCAGTGTAGATAATTAGTTTCTTGATGTTTTGACTCTTTGCTTGCTCTATTGCTTTGCAGGCTGCCTTAAAAACATTTCAATAGAATCACAGTTCAGACAGGATTTTGAAAACATGCAATTAAAACACCAGCAAAGTACCTGATGCTAACACAGAACTACAAAGAATATTACTTGTAATGTCTCCATCAGTGAGTATCAACATGCTTTAGAGCAGAGATTCCCAAAATTATGCATGCAGACAATCACTTAATGAATCAGGCAAACAGGGAGCCGCTTAAGTCTCACTGGCAAAAAAAAAAACCCAAAACATTCTGATGTTCAACTCTGCACTGAAGGAATTGCTCTCTGCCCAATTCTAACTATCAAAGCCTCTATCTACTGCACACCAAGTTTCAGGCATTTTTTCCATAACTTTGAGGAGGAAGGATTCATACCAGTTCCAACAGTCTGGAACCCCTAAAAGGGTTGGTGGTTTTTTTTTGGTGCTATGAAATATAGTAAGAGGGAGAAGTGGCTGGGTCTGGATGCAGAGCTGAAAAGCTCTTCAGTGACAAGTTTGACCCCTGGCACACCACCATCATGTCTGCTTGTCCCTCACTAAAATGAACTTCCTGTAGTTTTTAAGTAGATCAGTTCCCCACTTCAGTTCATCTCCAAACACACAGCACAGGATAGCAGCAGTACCAGAATTAAGATGAGAAAGGAAGACTAAATCTGCTGTTGCCAACAGAAGTTTACTTCAGAAGTAACAGACGTTACTCCTAGGAACCTAGAATTGTTTGTTACATTTATCCAAGGAATATGATACTCTGATCCTATCACAATAAGAAGTCAATTCTCCTTTAAACCACTACTCAGCCGCCCTCACCCCAAGGTCTGAGATACACACATTAAAAGTGCAAAGGATGCTATACAGATTTGAGAACCAGGCTTTCCTAATGCAAGGCTGTTTTAAATAGCTGCACTTGGCCTGATGATATTTGGGAATTCTCAAGGTGAATTACCTTGTTCAAAACCAATAAAGATCAATAAAACTTGAAGAGAACGGTTTGTGTCAAGTCATAACTCCTGATATTTTGTGTATTTCCCTCACAGCTCCATAACTGGTTTCTGAAAGCCAGGGTTAAAAGAGTCATGAGTGTGCTACTGCAGTCTAACATGCAGAAGCATTTTAGGACATTTACTACTTACATGTATTTCTGCTCTTTGATTAGTCTGCCGTCCAGGAAGTCTTTCACTGGTATTTCTGTGTTCAAGGAATGAATACATTAGTTACCGCAAATATTCAGAATGGCGTACAATGACTACACATTAGAAAAATAAATACAAGAGAGCTACTTTTCTTTTTACAAAGGAGAATGAATAGATATTGTAGTGCTCACTTCAACTGCGTAGTGCAACCTGCATATTTGAACCTGCCATCAACATGCAATTACATATGCTGTCCTCTGTGCGCACCTACATGTATCATAAAACTTTCTGTATCACTTGAATTACAGCTTCAGCCCCTAAAAATATTATTTCCACTTGATTTTCCCCACTAAAAATATTATTTCCAGTTGATTTTCCCCATGTTCTTACCTCCCAGAGAAACTGATCTCTCTTTTCGCCTCAGTAACTCACTAGTCTCATAGCACTCTCATTATGAGTCTCAATGGCAGGGTTTTGTATTCAAAAGGAGGCTGGTATTGTAAATCACATACAAAACAAACGGCAATATATTAAAAAAAAAAGAAAAAGAATCCATCCAGCTACTTACAAAGGGTGGCCTGGTCCCCAGTAGACACCTATTCCAGCACGTGCCCTATTACGTCCATTACCTGAACAACAACCATCTGTATAAACGACTGCAAAGTCACCTACAAAAGAGTTACCAAAAGCAGAAGTTCAAGCATTCCTTCAAGGACATAGATTCTTTAAGCAAAAAGAAATGTCTGCCAGCAGGTTAATCCCCAAAAATTCCCTCCCCAGAGAACCCTTCAAAAAGTTGACTACAGAAGCCGTGTAAATCAGTCATGCAGAACACCGGAAGTCCCACTGCAGCTTCACATCCTCACTGGTGTCAAATTTAGTCAGCCTCAGGAAGCACCTCTGCCCCAAGTTCCATACTCCCACTACAATTCCCATCTTCTTCAGTCAACTTTAAAACTTCCCAGCTACATATGCATATTTAAATACAGCTGGGAATCCAGACACACATAAAATCATACCAATAACAATCAGATTAAGCTAGATGTTGGTACTAGTTAAAGCCAACTAAAATTACACTGAAAGACAACGTGAACACACATATCATGGCTCACATTTTCATTTTAAAAAGAAACAATATTACGCTGGGCCTGATGCTGCCATAACAAACCTCCCTAACAGCTCTCTAATAATTACACTTGTTAGTTATGAAAGAGTGCAAAGAACTGAAAAGAATTACAGGAATAATGAAAGACCTCACCCATATATGAAAATTTATCTTCACTGACTGTTGGCGTCGGGTATACCTCATCATGTTTTACACGCTTTGCAATGTGTTCTTCATTTGCAGACTGTTCATATGGCCTTTTGCATGTATTGCAACACAAAACGTTTACTTCTGGTTCCTCTCTCTGGCTGCCATTTTCCTGTGTTATAGCTGGAGGACTGTGTGCCCCTTCCAAATTAAAAAAAAAAAAAAAAAACGATAGAAGTTCAGCTATATACAAGATCAAATTTTATTTGAAACGACTGCTTCTAAAGACAACAGTTGTTATCACCTACTAGCAATGCTAGTCTGTTAACTGACACCACCCCAAGCTATTATGCGAAATATATTACAGTACACACCAGTCATTCTCGATTCTAGATCAAGCTGAAATGGAGACAGACACGTAACGGCCCTTAAAACGGACATGGTACAAGCAATGTTCTCCAAGCACCTACAGAAATACCTTGACTGCACGGACGCCTCCACCGCTGCGTCCGGAGGGC